AAGTAGCCATTGGATGCGTTGTGTATTTTGCTGTACTGATCCAGAAAGCGCTGGGTGTAGACCCCGGCGCCCAATGCCTGGCTAATGGCGCAGGCAATTAGCGCTACGACGAGCGGCACTTGCATTGTCTACAGAGGAAAGGGATGTTTGGTTAGGTTTTTGGGTAATTATAAGTTTTTCAAATAGACTTACTTTTGCTGTAAGTTTGTTGTAATTGTATTTTGGATTACAATTAGAAAACTTGAGTGACTTTCTGTGAGTCTGTGTTTGAGTTTATATACGCTTTTGGAAATCCTTTTTCGCGTCTAATCTATTGATTGTGTAATGATTTGTGTGTTTCTGTGAAAAACAAAACTCAAACTGATTTGAGTGTTGATTGATGTCTCGGTATCCGTGCGATACCTGATGTCTAACCTCTTTGTCCTCTTTTTGATAACCTTTTCGTTAGAGAGTGAGTGAAAGTCTTATCGTTAGTTCAGTAGATATGAGCCATAAGTGTATTGAATTGAGAATTCTCTAAAACATGGAAAGTCTTATATCTTACATCTGATATAAACTTAACAAGTATTATACATTAAATGTACTTTAAGTCAAAATTGTACGGCAAGTTTGAAATGGATGCTTAAGATTAAGTCAGTTTATATGAACTAAAATATAGGTTTATTTTGTGTCAAAGGGTTATCATTACGTTAGTTATTAATAAATATTAGAGTAATTATAAGCTAAATATAGTTGAATATGTAATCAATAGGTTATGGCATTATTAAAACAGCTGGTCATTATTTATTATGAATTCAAGTGTCAAAACTTATAATTCAAAAAATTTGGCGATAGTTTTGAAAGAATTTTTATGAGAAATGTTATGTTTTAGTTAATTAAACATAAATTTATTTTTTCAAAGGTATTCAAAAGTAATGTTATAGTTTAAATAATTTTTATGTTGAAATATGAACCAGTATATATTTTATTTGCATGTATAGTATTGGTACAATTAACATTAATATTGCTTTGTTTCTTAATATTTCGACATATTTCAATTCATTGGTGAGTTTATTAATATTTTTGACTATTTTATTGAATTTCATGATTTTTATTTTGTCACATGTTTGATGACATTGTCGGGTCTCTGAGTTAACATGTCTTCGAGATTATCTGTATCGACCCCCAGGAGGACCAGTTTGGGTCGTAAGGTGTCACTCATCCAACCACTTAAGGCTCAGTATCAGTACTAGGACCCTGATATTATCACAAATAGTTTTTAACATGTTAACTTATTTTACATTGAATTTGGCTAACTAAAAGAACTTATTTATTTTCACTTTATTTAATAGAAAATAAATTTGTAGTAAATGTGCTCATTTAATTAGATATTAATTTATTTTTAAAATTAATATTAGAGACACAAAAGTCATTAAAATGTCCAAAAGTGATGACAATTCACTAGAAGTTGATGACAGCAGCGATGATAGTGATGATAACCTACCAGTGGATGAAACGGACACCAATAGTCAAGTATCGGCTGTAGTGATCCATAAGAAAAAAGTGTCAATAAGGACAACACCAGTTCCCAGGAAGAAGGCCGTCCCTCCAATAGTAGTCAAAAAGTTGGTTAAGCCTGTGTTGAAGACATTGCAACCCATATTAAGTCCGATAATAAAGAAATTTAATTTATTGTCTTAGAAACAGCTGTATTGCCTTAACTGGATAATTGCACCGGTATTTAATAATTTTCCATAGTATATAGCTTTATGTCTACACTACATCTACATATTACATCTGTATATTAGTCTTATGTTTTAGTGATTTATACAGTATTAGTGGTTAAATGGTTAATAGATTTATTGAAATTAGTGTGTATTAAAAAAGTTTTATAACAGTAGTACTGTAGTAAGTTTTTATTAACATAAATAATATTTTATAAATTGTACAATTAATTAATAAACATTTAATAAAGCGTTTTTTAGTTTGTTATAAGAATATTAATACAAATTATTAGACAAATTTAAATCAATATGTACATCAATAAATTAAAAACTAAAACCTTAATAAATAGTATAACTATAAGAAATAATCTAATAATGAGGTAAACATCGACCACACGAACGACTACCGGCGCCCCAACTATTTGGCCGACTCCTGTAGGGTCTCATTGGACATCGGGGGTGACTGGCTATCGGGTGTCGGCTTTTTCTTGTCGGCCGTACGCGCCGGTCGTTTCGATGAGCCCGAGGTTGTGGTCACCGTCTCCTCCTTGCCCTCCAATGAACGGATGGGACAGTAGTTTATTCGGATATAAACTGCGGACAGTATGACAATCAGCACCGACAGCAGGATTGTAGCGCCGATGTTAGCGTACAATACAGTCTTGCAGTCCATACAGTCGCTATCAATAGGGGATTGGGAGACAGGGGTTGTAGTGTTGATATTAGTGGTCATTATATTTGGAGTAAAGACTTAACAAAACTTTTTACTACTATTTTTGAATTTAATTATACAATCAATAAATGTTTAAAATGAAACTTATTATGAGATTTGCTTTAATCTGTAATTTTGTAGTGAATTGTATAGACTTTATGTGAAATGTCAGAAACAGTTGTAAATTTAATTAAATTTGTTAATTTGTTCAAATTTTGTTGGGCTCGTGAGTTAAATAGATTTTAATACACATTATAAAAATTAATTGTTAGTGATTTTTATTAGTTTATTGTGCATTATATTTAGTACTTTAAAATCAATTATAAGTTTAGCGTTAGTTTAGGTTAACTATATTAAACTATTACGGTAGTTACCCTAGAATTTTTCAAAGTTTTAATGCTCTGGATAAGTATTTACAACTAGACAAAGTTGATAATTGTAAATGTGAGAACACATCAATACAATTGTAATATTAAAATGTAATTAATTATATGAATGAATTAATTAATTACAGTAAAACTGATTTTCTATTACAGTATTCATATACCTTAACTTGTTTATTGTGCAATTGCATGTTCTGACACACTTATATAACTACTGTTTATGTGAGATAGGAAACCAATTGTTAGAAAAAATAACTTTGGAAATTACTGAATATTTTTGGCTATAAAGGTTATATGCTAATATAATTTTTAATATAGTCTGATAAATGTCTAGTTTATTGCATAGAATACCATATATTCTCATAAGGATATAAGGATATGTCCATTTTAGAAAATTGTTTAATGTCTATTAAACTACCGGTATCAATAGAAATAAAATAATAAAGTATTAACAATATTAAAATAATTATTTTCAGAATTTATTGAAAAAGTAATGTACTCAAAGAATAAAATAACCAAGATAAGTTATTAGGCACACGTTGTCGATACAAAGTGCTTATTATAATCGTTGCCAACCGTTAATGATAACCTATTCAACCGATCGGTACGACAGACCTACGAAACTGTGTACAAAGTGTATAAACAGGTGTGTTACTTCTACCTGTTCTTATCTAATAACTTAATACATTATTTCACTGCAATAAATCGTGTAAACACTTATAACTTATTAGTTTTAAGCCATAACATGTAAGGTACGGTATGGCAGTACGAAATTGTGTTAATTTATAAATTATATTTATTGGTTATCAATGCAATAGTAACTGAATTATACGTATACAGTAAAGTACTTTGATTAAAAATACAAATTATGCAATAAATTAAACGAAACTTAATTTGTTTCAATGTTTAAGAATACATTTACTAATTTGTAACTTTTATAATAAATTCATAATAAAATTATGCAAACTTTAATACAACTTTTAAACACCTTAATAAAAATAGCTTTAATTACATAAAACTTACCATTTACCAAGTTAAAACTAATCACAACTAACTAAAACTATAAAATATAAAATATTAACAAATTATTTTAAGTCTGAGGTTTTGAAAGTAGAATTTGATAGCAAATATTTATAAATAGTTAATCAACAGTTGTCTTAAAAGTTAATTTTTATACATGTAATGTCATAACCTATTGATTAAAGATCTATTGTTATATAATACTGTATACCAGATACACTTAGCTAGTAATTAGTCCAATATTTATTATTAATATTGCATTGATAACCTTTTAACATGGAGAGCACAACTAAACCCATTTGAGTTCATATAAACTTCTGCACCAATTTAATGTACTTGCTAGGTTTATACATTTAAGACTTATCCATGTTTTAGAGAATTCGCAATTCAATACATTTATGGCTTATATCTACTGAACTAATGATAAGACTTTCACTCACTCTCTAACGAAAAGGTTATCAAAAAGAGGACAAAGAGTTATACTTAAGGTATCGCACGGATACCGAGACATCAATCAACACTCAAATCAGTTTGAGTTTTGTTTTTCACAAAAACACACAAATCATTACACAATCAATAGATTAGACGCGAAAAAGGATTTCCAAAACCGTATATAAACTCAAACACAGACTCACAGAAAGTCACTCAAGTTTTCTAATTGTAATCCAAAATACAATTACAATTACAGCAAACTTACAGCAAAAGTAAGTCTATTAGAAAAACTTCTTATAATAATTACCCAAAAACTTAAGCCAACATCTTTTCACACCCCTTTCCCCTGTAGGCAATGCAAGTGCCGCTCGTCGTAGCGCTAATTGCCTGCGCCATTAGCCAGGCATTGGGCGCCGGGGTCTACACCCAGCGCTTTCTGGATCAGTACAGCAAAATACACAACGCATCCAATGGCTACTT